GAAAATCTTTTCTACTCCTGGGTATTAAGCAGACAATCTAAGTGCATAGTACTGATGATCAATGATGCCTCTTTCAAAATTGTGAATTTGTGGGCCCAGGGTCAGGGGTTCATGTGAGGGGTGTGACAATTTAATATATAGTGGAAATGCATTTTTTTTTCGAAAATCTTCTTCTCTGCCCTGGGTATTTAACAGAAAAAACTAATTGCATGGTTATGACGAGCATGCAAGGAAATCTTTTCAAAAAAGTTGAAATTCATAACCCCAGGGTCAGGCATTTTGGTGTAAGGGTGAGGCTCTTTTGAATAAATAGTAGAAATGAATTATTTCTTAGAAAATCTTCTTCTCGGCTAATTGTTATTAAGTAAACATACTAAGTGCATGGGTTATGATGAGCAAGACTGCCTATTCCAAAATTGTGAATATCTCGGCCCCTGGGTAAGGGGCTTTGGTATTAGGGTGGGGCTATATTGAATCTGTAATGAAAATGGATTAGTTCCTGGAAAATCTTCTCTGCACCTGGGTATCTAGAGGCAAATAGAGTATATTAAGTTGTAATAAGCAGGGTGTTTTTACCAGATTTTTAAATTCTGTACCCTTTGGTCAATTTATAAATTTCTACTGAAAGAAGCTATTCCCCTTTGCTATTTTACCTGTAATAGTCAATCACTGTAAATAATGTAACTTAAAAGGTCAATTGAATAACAGAATTATATAAGAATTTTTAAAATATTTAATCCAAAAGTACATTGTACTTTCATAGTTTTTAATGGTCAGGTAAACTTTTAAATAATTGATAAATGAAAATGGTACAAAAATACCATATCTTTGTTCAAAAAATAATCTTTAAAGACCAAGAGAGGCCAATGCGAGGGGAATGAAATGTGTTAACTAATACTGCTCTAGAACTATTGTTTTGTTTAGTCTGCATGAGTATTGTGACAAGGGGCGAAAAGTGCAGGCAAATAAATAGATCAACTTTAAGATTTAATTAATATTTTGCTTATCCCTGATTATCCTATTTCTCTTGCTTTTGGGCAACATAGATTTCTTTATCAGCTTATATTGTTTTAATGTATGGATTGTTACATTATACTCAGGTGATAGTTAAGGCCATTGGGCCTCTTGTTTCATTTTTTAAATGCAAATTGTCTTTTTTCTTAATGACCAATTATGTGCCTGGTCGTATTTTCTTTACGTCAGATATGTTGCTCTTTGAATGTGTAAACATATGACCCAAGGGCAATTATGTCTAAAAAGACTATAGCTCACCTGAGTAAAAAAGTAATTGATAAACTAGAAACTCATTGCGAGCTATGAGGGGTCTTCCGTTCGATTCTGAAAATAAAAACGAAAATTCAAGCTGAAAAAGTGATAAAAGAAATTCACACACTATGGAGATTTAACCCTGCTCGTCAGCGTGAAAATCCAACGTGCGCTAACCATTAACTTTCTTACATCACTTCCTGTCACGACCGGAAGTAATGGCGATACAAGATTTTCTCACGATTCAAATAAACTGATGACTGACTATCAGTCCTGAAAGTTTTAGACTTCAGTCGTTTACTGTTGCTGAGCAATACTGTAAGAACAAATTCTAATTTTGAGTTTTGGAAGTGAATTTTATTTAAAAAAATAATAACTTACTTTTCTCTAGACATTTGTAGTATCTACAACATACATAAAATCATTTCAAGTACGTTATCGATAAGCGATATTTATGAGAAAGTTTAATTTCTAAATAACGTAGTTTATCTCCTAAAACCGGAAGTTGACGTTTTTGTTTCCGGTGGAATCTAACATATTTCAAAACAGCGAAAGAGATGCAATAAAGTGATGCAAGTTTTAATTTAAAAAAGAAAAGTTAAAATTTTTGATTTCTTTGATCACTTCCTGTGAAAAGCGGAAGTGACGACTGACACGTTTAACCCACATGGTTTCACCTACTCCTCAAGCTCTATTACTCCTAAACGTTTGGTGTTTTAAATTTCTCAATTTTTGAAGAGGCTCAAATGATCTTCAGTACCATGCCACTAGTTTATCTGCTTTATATACAGGGGGAGAGAAGATTTTTAAAGAATTAATGCATTTTCATTATATGATCAGTAAAGCCCCGCCCTAACATCAGAACTCTTGACCATGGGGCCAAGATATTCACAATTTTTTAAGACGCGCCCTTGATCAACATAACTATTTACTTGTTATATCTGCTAAATACCTAGGAGCAGAGAAGATTTTCAAAAAAAGTAATGTACTAGCTTCGCTATATAATCAATAGAGACCCCCTTCCCACAAAATCCCTTACCCTGGAGCCACAAATTTCAAATTTTGGAAGAGGCATCCTATGGTCATCATAATCATACACCTAGTTTAACTTCTTTACATACGGTGGGGGGGGGTGTTAAAGAATTTATGCATTTTCACTATATGATCAATAGAGCCCCGCACTAACACTAGAGCCCCTTACCAATGGCCATGAATTTCACATTTTGTAAAAGGCATCATTTTCATGATAACTTTGTACTAAGTACATCGGCTTAAAGTCCAGGAGCAGAGAAGTAGACTTTCAAAGAAATAGTGCATTTCAGTATATAATCAATAGAGCCCCCTCTCACAGAACTCTTCACCCTGGGGCCACAAATTTCACACTTTCGGAAGAGGCACCCTCGATCATCAGTACCATGAACCTAGTTTATCCTCTTTATATACAGGGGGAGAGAAGAAGATTTTTAAAGAATTAATGCATTTTCACTATATAATCTTTAAAGCCCCGCCTTAAAACTATAACCCCTGACCCAGAGGCCATGAAATTCACAATTTTAGAAGAGGCCCATCTCCTCCTCATAACTATGTACTTAGTATATAATCATTAGAGCCCAGCCCTAACACCAGAACCTCCGACTCAGGAGCCATAAAATTCACAATGTTGAAAGAGGCAACCTTCCTCATCGTAACTATGTATTTAGTTTGTTTGCTTAATACCCAAGAGCAGAGAAGATTTTTTAAAGAAATAATGCTTTTTCTCTATATATTCAATAGAGCCCCACCCTATCACTAGAACCCCTGACCCTGGGGCCATGAATTTCATATGTTTGGTAGAGGGCTCAATGCTTATTACAATTATACCAACAGTTTGACTGCTTGATGTCCAGGAGTAAAGAAGAAGATTTTTAAACATTGCATTACTTTTAGTGGTTTTTGTCCCCCCCCCTTCAGGCCCTCCGGGGGGGGGGGGGGGGCAGGGACTATGAAATTCACCATTTTTTCCCCTTCACCCATAGATGCTGTATGCCAAAATTGGCGAAGGAACAGTTGCTACCTATTTTTATCGACTTAAGTCAGTCGCGGCCGTGATTCGAAAACCCGACCTTCCGATCACAGAGCGAGACCTCTGCCGACTGAGCTACCGTGACGGTGACTTTGAAAGGAAGTCCATGGGACAACAGTTGGTGGTGTTCGTCCAAATACAATATCAAGATTGTCAATTAATACTTTCGGGTAGTTATGAGGTCTTGCATTTTAGTTGATTGATTGATTGTATGTTGTTTTACGTCCCGTTCCACAGGTACTTGTGGACAGGACCCCCCCCCCTCCAATATGCCCCACAGGTCAAAAAATATTTTTATGTATTTTTTTCATAAATTATTCTTCTAGTACACATTTACAATGTATTCAATAAGAAAAATCCAAAAAATAACGCAGAATTAACGTTTTACTAAAAAATCATACCCGCGGTATTATAAAATAGAGAAGGTAAGTCACTTCCATTTGTTTACACTGGACCCCTCTTGGATATCAGGCCCGAAATATCATTTACCTAATACATGTCACCGAAATGTGTCATGATATCTTGTTTCGGTAGATATTTTTGTCTTTAATCGTGCTATTTAATTGCCCAAGCATCCCATAATAATCCGAGTATTCATCGTCAAACGTGAAAAATGCTACAAGATTTGGAAATGTCAGAGTAGAAGTTACGGAAGTGATGCAAAAACGACACCTAGCGTGTAACTCTCCAGTTCCGAGTGTTATAGAACTAAGGGAAAAGTCAGAGGTCTACGAAAAAGTTCGGGAAAATTTTGATAAAGAAGTCGAAATTGATTCATTAGCAATAAATTCTGCTTAAGATTTTCGAGATGAGCGAGGGTAGTCGTCAATATTCCCTTTAAAGGATGTTATCATTGATACCAAGTAGCGGTTTAAAAATCGCTTAAACATTTATTTACAACTTACAAGACATGTAACCCGTTCGGGTATCCCCTGCATGTGTCCCGTTCGAGTATTTTTCACTCATATAGAGACGCCACCATATACCGGTGAAAGGGCTTCAAATTTAGACCTTTACTTGGGACTCGGGACCATTGAGCATTGAGGGTACTTTATCGTACCATCGCCTACAGTGACACGGGGCCTCAGTTTTTAAGGTCTCATCCGAAGGACCCTTGCACCAACCATTCAAAAGTTATGACCAAGGTTAAAGTTTTTCGAAAGTAGATCAAACTCCCATGTCAAGGTCAAAGTGGTTGGTATCCAAAGGAAGGTGATGTCACAAGGATTACATATGTGAAGTATGAAAGCCCTAGCATCAAACATTCAAAATTTATGGCCAAGGTTAAAGTTTTTCAAAAGTAGGTCAAACTCCAAGGTCAAGGTCAAAGTTGTTCGTATCCAAAGGAAGGCCTTGTCACAAAGAATACACATGTGAAGTTTGAAACATAAAGCACCAACTGTTCAGAAGTTATGGCCAAGATTAAAGTCTCATGAAAGTTTGCAAAAGTGGGTCAAACTCCAAGGTCAAGGGCAAAAGGTCTAATATGATGGTACCCAAAGAAAGGCCTTGTCACAAGGAATCCACATGTGAAAATGAAAGTCATAGCTCCAACCAATCAAAAGTTATGGGCAAGGTTAATGTTGACAACAGACAGACAAACAGGACAAAAAAACAATATACCCCCGGGATCTTTAGATCCAGGGGGATAAAAATTAAACATGAACAAAAGTAAGTGCACAAAGATTTATTTTAAAATTTCCACTCTCAGTTTTCCATAAATCATGCAATTCTTTAGCTGATCATGTCAATGAAGCTGGAGTAAATGAATCACTTGGAGCAAGGGGTATTTCTCTGAAAAAAAAGGAATTATTAAGTAATTTTCTTCAATTAATAGTTATTCTTTTGGAACATTACAAATTAAAGCTAATATCCCCGACTCTAACACAACCACATATAAACTGCTCTTCCGGCCAATAATTTGCACAACTTCTGGTCATAAGCATTCTTTCTGTCAATTTACATGAAGCTATCTCATTACCCCACTTTTTGATGACAAACTTCACACATAGGCACAAATAAACCTCGAAAAAATAAATATTATGATGTATTGTCAGTTTTTTTTTTTTTGAACATATCCATCAATTTAAACTGAATTTTTGGCAATTCTATTTAAAAACTTGATATTAGGAAAAAATATTAAACCAAAATTAGGAAACGGAAACATGGCGCCGGTTTTGACGTTTTCCAGGCAAGTCAAATAACAAAATCGTAAAAAAATGCCTGCAAAAAGTCGGATATTTCGGACTTACCATATATATGTACTGTTGTATATGTATTTGTTCAGAAATTCACAGATAAGAAAGGAGTTTTATTTTACTCTTAGCTGCTGAATCTCACTCGAATCATTTTATCAGAATTTCAGTTGAGGCAATGATCATTAAATTTTAGCAAAACTTCAACGATAAATATTACGTAAAAAACTGGTACATACGGAAGACCGCTTGTCTGTTTTTTGCTATTGGAGTGCCCCACAATTTTGACTTTTTGGTCTCCATCTTTTATTACCACTTTAAATTTTCTTCTTCTCCCCCAAAGAAAACCTTCCACGGGTGTTGTGAACAATTCCAAAGATACCAAAAGCAAAATAATGACAAGTGCACCTGAAAACTAATTCATTTGTGATATATTAAACGAAGCCCATGGGTAACAACGCTCACCTGAGTAACTGTGGCTTTTCTCTTCTTTGTCACTTTATCAGTAGATTTTTTTCCCAAATACATTCCTATGTAAACTTAAGATAATATATTATGACCCCGCCTTACCCTTAGCCCCACCCTACACATACAGATGTCATGAAAACCTGAATCTCTCTCGCTCTCTCTCTCTCTTTCTCTCTATGTATATGACTAATCGTGGCTTTGCTGTTCTGAAGAAGACTTTAAAAGATTTTTCATATATATTCTATTGTAAAACTTTGATTGGCCATTGTGGTCCCATCCTACCCCTGGGGGTCATGATTTGAACAAATTAGAATCTACACTACCTGAAGATGCTTCAGTTTAATATGACTAATCAAGGCTTTGCAGTTCTTGAAGAAAGAGTTTTTAAAAAAGATTGTTCCCTATGTATTCCTATGAAAAACTTTAATTGCTCCCTGTGGCCCACCCTACTCTCCAGGGGTCATGATTTGAACAAAGTTGAATCTACACAACGTCATCTTCTTCTTCTTCATCTCTTCTTGCTCAGTGGTTCTTCAGAAGATTTTTAAATAAACCCATTTTCACTATTTCTTTATTATAACCCCTTGGAAGAGGGTGTGGCCCTTTATTTGAACAAATTTGAATCCCCTTTACCCAAGAATACTCTTTGCCAAGTTTGGTTGAAATTGAACCAGTGGTTCTGGAAAAGAAGATGAAAATGTGAAAAGTTTACGAAAACGACAGACAACGGACAAATTTCGATCATTAGTGCCGTTGACGTATTTCACGTTTTCTTGTCTTAGATATTTGATAATATGCATCATTTAAAACTAAAACAAGTCCAAAAATACGACAAATTAATCCATGCATCGTATTTTTGTAGCATGTGTTTCTTTATAAAACTTTCAGTTTATTTATTTTTTAATTGGGGGAGGGGGAGAACACATGCATCTGCACAATAATCAAGATCCTAATAAGTTTTAATCTACACCCCCCCCCCCCCCACACACACACAAAACTGCATATCGCACACCCACAAACAAACGAACAAATTCAGGATGTTGTGGTTTTCCGCTTGCAGGTCTTACAACTTCATCGTCAAGGATATGAGGTCAAAAATCATCAAACATTCAGAGGTAATACACTTGTAAAGAGGTAATAGTCCGTAATACACATGTTAAAATAGTCGCTACTTGGCGCGGTGGTTTGAGCGTTTGCGGAGTAAGGAGTTGAACCTTACGTCGTCGGGTCCACTACAGTACGTGGAGATCGGTCCGTCGGAAAACGAGATCCCGTGTCGCAGTAAGTGCTGGCACGAAAAAGATCTCTCACTGCTCAAAGGTCGCAAGTGCTGAGCCCCAGGTCTATAATTACTGAGCATATCTATTAACAAGCATATCAACCTTTAAAAACTGGCCAAGAATTGAAATATAATTTAGGTTAATTTTTTTAAAAATTTAATTTCATACGTTTTAAGAATTTTTCCCCACCGTGTTTTGATAAGTAGCACAACAATTTTTTTCCTGGCTTATATTATTAAGGTCAGGAAAGAACCACAAAAACTTCATTTCATCAGTCAACATAATTTTTTAAAGAAATTAATAAAAGTTATAAGAAATAAATAAAACTCATTTTCTCTAAGATAAATGAAGAAAAATTAGGGAAGATTCCCGATAGTATAGAAGAAACATTAATGAATTAAATTACAATAAATATTGAATTAAAGTAAAACTTATTGATTTAGAAAAACAATTTTCAAAATCTTTGGTATCGAAGCTCCTTTTTAGAGTTATCTTTCCTGTTACCCAGAATTCAAAAACTTTGGTAAATCTCGTCATCAAACTCAAGTTACTCGTTATTGGCGATTGAGCTGGACAGATATAAGTGAGCAAAACTAGAAATGCTCACTATTTATCAATATCTATTAACACACAATGAGATAATTATTATTGAAACGCACAAATCAGTGTGCAAAAATATCAACTTTTCACAACAGACTTTGTTGACGATATCGCAATGGATTGATTAGTCTGAAAATATAAATAAACTAAAACGTTTTCTCGTAGACATACCTGTTATTTAGTAATACGAATTATTATGCCACAAAACTCAAAGGTCTGCGGGTTTTTTATTGAAAAAATCGAAGCCTTTTCCTGTCGGTCACGCCGTAATCATGCCATGTGTTCATTGTTTATGATTAGGGTGTCGCTCTCAGTTTACTGCATAATTTTCCTTTGACAAAACTTTCATCTCTAAAGCGTTTATAAGACTCTCCTACAGGCGGTGCCAGGGTAATCGTCAGTGCACAAACTATAGAAAACCGGAAGGAAAATTCTTTTTCTCGATATACGTCACAAGTCACGGGGTGTGGAGGACCCTGAACTTAGCATTGCTGCATAAAATCAGTGTAATTTTTTAATAATTTTTTCAACAAACTAAATTTCTTTGAGAACAGTTTGTGATAAAACAGTGTATGATTGTTCTTAAATGTACAGAGAAATTGGACCAAAATTAAAGACAAAGTATAAGAAAATGACATTCTCCAATCTGCATTTAATGAAAGAATAACCAAATATTTTTAATTAATTTTTCTCTCCGGTGCAAATTGCAAATTTAAACTACGCGATGGAGGAAATATTTAGCAGAGTGGATATTTTGGCTTATTTTATCGATTTGGTAGTAGCACTCTAAAAACTTTGACAGCTAAAGCACTCTTGCGTATACATACAGAACGCATTAAAACTTGAAAAGAAAGCTATATTAATATCAGTCTGTTCAAACGTGATATCTTTCTTTTGGCTTGTCTAAGGCTCTAGCGAAAATCAGTTATCAAACGAATAAACGTAATGACAACTCATTTCGAAGATAACTTTCCGTTCTCTGCAACGCTTAACTTCGAGTCCCCCAAAAATTTCGCCAAAATAATTGACATATGTACACCCGCTAATCAAACCCTGCTATACGGTTATATTTTATCTACATTTCTTCAAACCTACCTTCATCGTTATGGCTTAAACTCATTCCAAAGTTAGTATAAAACTGAAATTTATAGATGCAAAATTAATGACTCATGGTCATTAAGCCTGTCAGAGAATTCAAACGCCCATGCTGTCATGTTTTTTCCAGAATCGATGCATTTGATAATTAAAGACATTTAGAATATGCACGAAAAAAAAAATATTTCGAAGTCAATCTACACCACGCATGCATACACGTCATTATATTTATTTGTGGCGAATTTATAATGAAGCGGTCCTTAATATTTACCTTGTATATGTATATTATCTTGTTTTAATTTCCTTATTTTCAGACTAAGAAAAGTGCAACCAAAAGTGCAACCAAACTTTCTACAAAATTTCCATGTTGAAGGTGATTTATGGGTTTTTTTTTCAAATGAAGATCCACAACCACTCCTTCCTCTCAATACACGATATCAATTCACGGCCCCGGGGGAATGGTGGTGGGAATATTAAAAAATAAAGTTTCAGTGTTAGAATCAGCAGGGGCATCATCAGTCAAGAGAATATGCAACTATCTTCAGTAGTTCACATTCAGTGCAAGTTGTTTAATTTTTTTTCCAAATCTTGCTCCCATCTAGTAAAGGTGTCATGTTCTAAATTTTGTATTAACTCCCACCCAGTAAATTCAAAACCATTTTTATGTCAAAGGTCAACATGTCCAAAAATTTATTTTTACAACAGCTCCAAAACTATGTGGTTTATAAAGTTAAAACGTTTACAGTTTATAAATATATCATTGATTAACAGATAGAAAGTATCACTTGATAATAAATACTTTATAAAAATATTTATCGAGAAAAATTCTTTTTAAAAAATGCATATATTTTTAAAAAATACACCTGCTTAATTGTACTTTTAGTGAAAACCATCATTGCAGAAATAATATATGTTCATCAATGATGGGCAACTTGGACTTCGATGGCCTCTGGAAAGTTGTTTTCCCTGTTTATTTTGTCCAAATGTTAAGATTTGAAACCGAAAGTACATTGCAAATGGCGGATTTTATAGGGGTCTTGTCTTTATACATGCCATTCTTTCAATAACAGTCTTTAAGAGACCATTCACGTCGAACTTGCCCTTCATTTATAAACATATATTATTTCTGCAATGATGGTTTTTACTAAAAGTACAGAATTAAGCAGGTGCATTTTTTTAATATGCAATTTTTTTTTGCATTTTTTTTTAAAAATATTTGTTTTCAAGTGATACTTTCTATCTGTTAATCAATGATGTATTTATAAACTGTAAAAGTTAACTTTATACCTCACATAGTTTTGGAGCTATTGTAAATATAAATTTTTAGACATCTTGACCTTTGACAAAACCTTAAATTTTTTATGTTAAACATATGGATCCTAAACTTTATAATTGTATATTTTAGTATTCTAGAAAATGGAATAATTTATTATAAATTTATTATGTTTATTTCTGTTGACTTTGGAAAACAAAACTCTTTTTAGAAAATGTCTCATAAAACCATTTTGTAATTTCACCTCTCATTCCAATCTATAGTTTGGCTTGGTAAATAAGAACATTGTAAATAACACGTCTTATTTCCTGTCAAGGTAGATGTAACAGAAGATGTAATGGCACTTTTTACTTTTGAACAATAGCTTGTACTTTTTGCAGAGATTAACTCTATGTAATTGTTTATACAAGCGATTAACGAAAATTTACTTGTAACAACATCAATAAGACCGACTCTTGTCGTAAGCATCTGAGTAAATTAAATTGAAATAGATTTTCAGAAAAAGTTTTTTTTTTATCATGTGATCAGTATTTATGAATTCTTATTGGTCAACTATAGGCAAGCCGATTTTTGGTGACGCGCTCGTAAGACATTTTTTGTACATTCTAGATGATTGCGAGTTGCTCAAAATACAAGACGTAAACCTTAATTTGCTCTTGTCTTCATTTTTCTACAGGTATGTTACTTTAATTATATTTGTTTATATATTTTTCTTTATCTGCTTGCATGTATTTGATCAAATTTTGTTTCTTTGATTTCATACATTACAATTTTTATAAATTGCTTTATTTGTGCGGAAACTAATTCAGTAGTCATCATGTATAAAAGCCAATTAAAAATTGGATATTAGCATCACAGTTGCAAGTGCCTATAAGTATATATTATTATTTAGCATTTTTATTCATTTTTTATTAGGTTAGTGATTTATAGATTTATTTTAGAATTTTTGTTGAAGATAAATAAATTGAACTTTATTTTTACATTTGAATTCAGTGCGTTCTTTTACTTAGGAGATCCAAAAAAGTTATTTTTAGTTTCGGTTTGTAAACTTGTTGCGCTGTAAAAACAAAGATGAGTTGAGAGTGTTTAAAAGGTAAATGCAATCAATTTTAGGCTTTCAAGCAAACAAATGTCTTTCTTACTCCTAAACTATATGCGCATTACGTAATATTACGCAATGAATAAGTAAAAATGATTAATTCTGTTTACATGCGATTCCGAAACTTGTACAAACGTTTTCTGTAGTTCTTTAGATTTTTGAAACTTTTCAATGTTCAGTACATTCAAGCAAGTTGCTCAAAATACAAGACGTAAACCTTAATTTGCTCTTGTTTTCATTTTCCTACAGAGTACAACAAAGACCTTTGGTCATTTACTCAAGGAGGAATTCCCCATTCTTGTGGTGGTTTATACAAAGGAATAAAACCTAGTGAATAAAACTGTGTAAAAGTAATATCAACTGTCATGTTCTAAATTTTGTATTTACTCCCACCCAGTAAATTCAAAATTTATCAATATATACATGTACATTTATACAATACATTTAGTTTTTTTCTAATTAAGAATTTTCAATTAAAAAAATCAATAATTTTGATGTTGATCTGGATTTAAACGAAAATGTAAGTAAGAATAATAATAATACAATAATTGAATGACAGCACGTTCATGTACATGTTTTTGTACAGAATCTTGAGATGATGAAATGCTATAATTTATCACAGACCTTTTTTTTCTTTTCTTTTTTAAGTAACAATTGTAATAACCATTTTTTTCTTTTGTACATTAAAGCACGTATTGTCTGATAAATTTACGCAATGTATATAAATGGGTTTTAAAGTAAAAAATAAATAAAATATTATGTAAATATAACATGCTACCTAGATACTTATTATATAAATATAATTTTTTAAATCATATTAATAATAGTTTCACACTGTACATTAACACGCTTTGCTTGTACAATGTTTTAATTATATCGAATGACAAACTGGCATGCTGATTAGTCGACGCGCTGATTAGTTAACACGTCTTATCGCTAATCCTGATTGACAGCTCTGTTACGCAACACCGAACGCGCATTCGCTTTCTGGGCTCGCTACTGAATTAATTTGGGGCTCGGTTTCGGCGTTCGCTCTGGGTCCGCTGCGGATTCGCTCGGGGTCAGTTCTAGCGGACCCAAAGCGAACCCGGGGTGCGCTTTGGGTTCGCTTTCTGTTAGGTTGTGTCTGGTCGGTACTGTATCACGTTCAGCAGGCAAAATTTAAAATCTTGAGACAAATTGTTTATACACTCACCCAATTAACTCAGAATTTGTCATGAAACAAACTCATGTGGTCATAGCCATCAACACCAGTTTGCAAGAAAGAATATATATTGAATAGATATTGATAAAATATCATTCTATTGATAAGCGTACACTGGAAAGAGTGACTCTAATTGACAATATCTATGTAGTTCTTAGAGATCAGGTCTTCCAACAATCGGTTTGAATTGCCATGGGTACCAAGTGTGCCCTCTTATTAGCAGACCTATTTTTGTATTCGTATGAAGCAGAATTATTCAAAACCTTCTATATGAGAAGAAGAAAAGAAAACACTTCCTATGACCTTCAACTCACATTTAGATATATTAACGACGTATTATCAATTAACAATAGTTACTTCCTTTCATATGTCGAATCGCTATATCCCAGTGAGCTTGAAATAAAAGATTCCACAGAGTCTGATACATCTGTTTCATATTTGGATATTTTACAAGAAAAAGACATTAATGTGTAACGGTTGATTTTGCGCATACTAAAAGAACACGAAACGCGCACCATACTTTATTAAACCGATTGTCTATTTATAGAGTTTCTGTCCTGGCGCCAGGTATTTAATTTTATTTAGGGATTATATTATTAAAAACTTTATAAAATTCTATTTGAATATTAATTTAGTTGTTATCTATTTTTAATTAATTTTCAATGCAGTGATTTGAATTTAAAAAATATTATTTTGTTGAGTAAATCTCTAAGATTTAAACTGGTTTGTCAAGTTATCTATTAATACTCCCTGTGCTGACGCCCCTGTTATGAACTGAACGTATTCGATTGAGTTTGAGAGTGATGCGTGTTACGGTAAGAATGTCTGTTAACCTTGTGTTTTATTAAACTTGAATTATACTAATTATTATATCTTTTTATCGTTAATATAATAAATACCGGTAATTCTGTTTATTTAAATGTAGAGACCACACGCGCAGTAAAAGTACGAGTGAGTGACTGGGTGTGGCATTGCCATATTTTGGTGGTATGTGTTCGTTTGAATTTAAATTCATATACTGATTAATTCTTTTATTTTTGCTTGTGTGTTCTATTGGTAATGTGTGTATATATTTTTGCTTGTTTGTAGCTCATTGCCAATTTGATAAATTTAATTTAAAATAAAGAACCATAAAAAGAACTTGACTTTAGTCGTTACAAATGGCGTCGTGGACATACAATTGAAAAGAAATCTTTTGGCAATGAGTTACTTCTAGGCCCACACTCGATGACAACTTCGGAATTCTGAAGTGCCTTTTGCCTTTGTCGACGTTAAGCAGACTACAGTGCCATTCGATTGACGTTTCTGATGTTCCGAGCTGTAAGTTCAACTACCAGTTAACGAGTGCATTCGCCAAAGACTTTGAGTTTGGTTTATGTTCAACGGCAACGCAACGGACATCTGAGTATTCCAAACAACGCCCCTTGAGGTGACAAAAAAAACTTCTCCTGTTTATAACTGTGCACTTAAACAATAAGAAT